GTTGGCTGACAAGTTTCTCAAAAATGTTGTTTTTTTTAGTTTTTTCATATTTTGAAAATCATTCAATTTTTATTTATTAATTATTTATTGAATTATATTATTATTAAAAACATTTAGTAGTAACTAGGTAAAAAAATATAAAAAAATTTAGTAATTTGGTAAAAATTTGTAACACATTGTTTTTATAAATTGGTATCTGGTAATGAAGTTACCAGTATACCGTGACATCTCTTCTCTTAAATTTTTTTTTTTGTAAATTCGCGCGTGGTCTCGATGGATATAAGAGCGAGTTGTGTGTGACGGTCAAACTCTTTATACTGTCGTAAACTCTTTACTCTTGCAATCTATTGATAATTGATATACAACAATAGGGAATCAACTCGTACGTACCTTCTAATGACCCGGGAATCAACTCAACGGTTAGGTTAACAGGCACCCGGGAATCAACTCGTACGCAGCCCCATAATGCATGTAATAATACAATCAATAGTTAAAATGCATATTGTTTAACAAGTATAAATAAAAGTACCTATATGATAAGTACTTATAGGTAATGCGTTGTACGATCTACAAATCTAAATAATTTGATGCAATACAATCAGATATAGCCATATAGGTGATTAATAATAATTGTTAAAATACAGGTATCTATTGTTTATGTTCAATTACGCAATTTTTTATTTTTCATGGCGAATATTGAATTATAATTGAACGTAAATACCTAACAATAATTAGACATGAATAAAAACAAATCAATTATTTATCCGTGGCGTACAAAACTTCGGGACTAAAGGTCATATCGACGTGTCGGGATTTCGGAAAATCAGAACAAGCAGTGTCGGAAATCTTGGCTGAAGTAAAAGGCGACGGCCTCGAACAATTGATCGTGGAGAAATTGGATTTGACGTCTTTCAAGCGTTGCGTGAAAAACATTTTGCAAATGGAAAAACAAATTCACCTGCTGGTGAACAACGCCAGTTATAGTGGTGCACGCCTACCCACAGCTGCGATTGTACAATTACAGTCTACAGGGCCCGAGTGCAAGCATGGATTAAGGGTTTAGCCATGGCAAGGGAGGCACGTTCTGTCAGTTATTTTTATTCGTTTTATTTGCACGCTTAATGAAACCTAAATTAAACTAAATATAATGATTTATAGTTTAAATTTAAAATTATTTCAACTTTGGTAAACTTAAAAACTACTAGTGAAATAAATGTACAAATCATGTTATTTATATGCTACTCGACTCTCTAGTAAAAGAGTAATAGCCAATAGGTACTTAGTTACACGAATATTATTTGTTACAGTCTCAATGGCTTGTCCCAAAGGAAAAATCCAGGACAGTTTCGAAACAAAATTTGGCGTCAATCACATGGGGCACTTTCTGTTTAGGTCATTTCTATTGCCAAGAAACCGATACACGATCCCCGCTCACATCATTAACGTGTTGTCAATGGCACATAGTGCATACGAGTCAGTTCAAAAAACGCATTAAAAATTGTGTCTGTCAATTAAAAAAAAAAATCAAAAAATAAATTTTTGAAGGCTTCAACTTTGATAGAAATTACTCGGCTATGGCAGTCTACAGCCAAAGTAAACTGGCTAGTGTGATGTTCTAGAGAGAACTGATGCGAAGACTCGAATAGGTGGGTACGTAGACTCGCGGAATCAGGCGCGTTTAAGTCACCAATGCACACAGATAACTGAAGACAATAACTATCAAGGTTATCAGTAATATCAAATACATACTTGTGAAATACAATTCTTTTATAGTTATATTATCGGTAAATGTACTTATGGGTACATACAAATATTATTTTTGTATACACGAAATCTTTACAAAATATGTATAACAATTTTTTTTTTAAACTTGGATTTATTCTTCAAATTATGTAAAAAAAATATTTGTACCTATAAATACACATACATTTTCCAAGAAAATAACTATATTGTAAAATGCTATATACGCAATAATTATTTTGTATTTTTTATTGAGAAAAAAAGAACTGGCGTTAGCCAAAGATCCGTAGGGGTGTGCCTAGAAATTTTTTTCGGGGGTTTAAGATATCTTATATCCGGATTTGGTGAAAAAACTTTGGGAAAAAAAGCGTGGAAATAGTCGGCTTAAAGGGCTACGAATATGTTCAACTGGAGCGAACAAACTATACGCTCCCCCGAACTATTGAAAACGCCAGAATCATTAACGTTATCGTGTACTTAAAAAAAATGTATTCCATCAACATAAATTATAAGCTGTTTTCATTCCAATCGCAGTGGTTTTACATTGTCACAGTTGTTTATAGCAACAAAGTGTTTACAAAGTAAAATAATATAATCTCAGTTTTTTTAAGTCAATTATATATAATAAGAAAAATATATTTTTCTGTCAAATATTACATTCATAAAATTACAACATGAACGAATCACAGATAATCAAACAAGTGAGTGCCACTTCCGATGTTTTCACAATTTTTTTTTATTAGATCTGGTGACAATTACTGTGTTCATGCAATAACTGCAGCTTTGTTGTTTTAGAAAAATAATTTTCTTTTTTTATGAGGTTATTTATTTTTTACTCATAAATATTTAAAATTTGTGATGAAAAAATAATACACTTATGTACACCCACTATTATAAGTTTTGATTTATCTCAAGAGACATAACTATTTCCTAAGCTAAACAGTATAGAAATGTTTTCCATCAAGGTTGTAAGCTAAATGCATACACCATAGATAATTTTATATATTTTTAGTTAGATAGGATGGTCAAGTTCATAGAGTTCGAGGCAGATGAAACTGAACGAAATATTGATGCTCAATCAGAAGAAGAATGTCGTAATATAAAGAATGAGATGATACTTAAAGCAAAAATGGAAATTAATCAGTTGTACAACAAAAAGACAAATCTTATGAAAAGAACAACAGCGACGTGAGTATTAGAAAGTGTATACTTTTGCGAATAAAATATTATTTTTTATCTGGGCCATAGATTCATTACCACGGGAATGACCAATGCCAAGTTGGAAATATTGAATACCAGAGACAAACACGTTAAATCTGTGTTGGCCGATGTTAACAAAGAATTGTTAAAAATGCGTGAACATAGATTATGTCTTCATCGAGAAATACTTTTAAAGTTAATACTACAGGCGATGTATCAAGTAATACTATTGTGGTGGTAGATTGTTGAACGACAAAGTAACGCTTTAATTTTGGTATGTTCCCAGATCTTAGAACAAGAAGTAAACTTAATACTGATACCAGACGACGTGGAGTACGTGACCTTAAAGATCCCCGAATTGAGCCAAATCTATTTAGCCAACACGGGAATGAACATCAAAATAAACATTGACCAAGCAACTAAGTTACCGACTCAAGAAATAGGAGGCGTCGTGGTCACGGGCAAAGGTCGAAGGTCAATGGTTGAAAATACGCTGGTAGTGCGATTGCTCCATCTCACCCAACAAGCTATACCGTTGATATGCACTGGACTGTTTGGACTGAATCCCACTAGAACTTACTCAAGACATAGATAATTACAAAATACAAACTTATTATATTATTTAATTCATACAAAAAAATTCCCTAATATCAAGATCTTAATCATATTTGGTATGACTATTAATAGTAATAAGTAATACGCTATAAGTAATACTAAATTTGATTAAGTTCTTGATGTTTAGGGGGCTTTTGTATGAATTGAATAGTAAAAGTTCGTATTTTGTAATTATGTATGTTTTAAGTAAGTTCTAGTGGGATCTGGTCCTAACAATCCAGTGCATTTCAACGGTGTATGGCTTGTTGAGCGAGAAATAATCGAAATAATGAAATAATAAATTTCGCAAATAGGTATGTCTGTGATTTCCCGCTTTCCAATTAAAGAATTATTTTATAATCTATGACGTTTTCAGAATTCAGGATGTAGACAATAATAGGTATTATTATTGTGTTCACTGGTCAATCTTAGAAGACCGTGATCTATATTGTGGACGTATTGTAAACAAACGGCACTGTAGGGAACTTCTAGATAGCGCTGTACTTTACACCAGGCGTCTTATTATAAAAGAAACTAGAAAATACCTTATTTAAAAAATCTGCCTTTAGTGTCCCGTTGTCACAGTGACACGGTGTAATAGTGCTCTAGAAGTTACGTACGAAAATAAAAAAAAATTAAATTTTCTTTGCATGCGAATTCTAGGTTTTGGGACTTTGGGAGTATATTTTATGTCAAAAACCAGGAAGTTACATAATATTATTAAAATGCGTTTAGGATAAATACATTTTTGAGTTATCAATTAAAAATTAATGTTGTTTTCACATTGAGATTTTTCTTGGTTGAAACCTTGCTGTCTGTATGAAACCACAGAAGAAATTTAACGATCATTAAGAAACCTACTATTTTAAACCGCTCATAATTTAAATATCAAAAAAGCCTGTCTGGGTCCCTAGATAATATTCTTACCTTCAAATTAATTTAGAAAAAAAAAATTGAATTCGAAGTATGAGTTGTTCGTTTAAGTAAAATATAAAACTTATGAATTGTTGATATATATACATATATATCCAAGTATATTAAATAGTCCACCTGGTACATTTATTATTTATCTGCGTATAAACGTATAAACGTATTAAACCTTATGGTTGTTATAAATATTTTTAAAATAGCCAAATGCATAACAATTTGCCTATAAGATGTTCTATGAGTCTTGTTGCCACTAGACCCCTAAAATGTAAAATTTCTCAATATTTCATTTTTATTTTTATTTTGTAATTACAATTTATTTCATTTTTTTAAAAGTAAAAAAATTTTTACAGTATTGAACTATGTTTTTACGAGTTGGTACTCATACTAACCTTTTTTGGTTACAAAAAGGTACAGAAAGGCTACATCATTTTAATCAGCCTATTTTTAATTTTTAAACGTGTAGCTTAAAATTTTAAATGATTTGTTATGTTATGGATCAATCATTTTGGTTGTTACAAAATTGTATTTTAACGGCCATTCTTAGCGTTGTCTTAACAATTTCCCATGTATAAGTAGTGTAAATATATTCCTGGAAATACATCTTGAGGTCCTTAATACGTTGTCTGATTTTAATTTTTCTGTTTTATGTGGGGTATGGTGTAATTTATCCGTTGGCGAGTGGCTTATTGGAACCTACTGATATAGTGTTAGGCAATCATTAAAACAATTCAGAACACCATTTTTCTACTTTTTGGAATTTTATTACATTATTTAAGTTTATTATTACATGTTTTATTATTCATTATTATTCTATTTACAATATAAAAATAATCAAGTATAAGAGGACATAACTACATATGGCTCAAATCAGTATTGTGTTGTGTTCCCTCTTATTGTTTACTTGAATCTTATCACATAAAAATTGCAATATTCATATTGATATATTATTAATTTTAATGTTACTGGTGTTGTTAATCTATTAATGTCCCCCACTCCTTTTGGAATAAAATTACAAAAGGTAGAAAAATGGTGTCCTGAATTGGTTAGGTTAGGTAATTTTATTCCAAAAGGAGTGGGGGACATTAATAGATTAACAACACCAGTAACATTAAAATTAATAATATATCAATATGAATATTGCAATTTTTATGTGATAAGATTCAAGTAAACAATAAGAGGGAACACAACACAATACTGATTTGAGCCATATGTAGTTATGTCCTCTTATACTTGATTATTTTTATATTGTAAATAGAATAATAATGAATAATAAAACATGTAATAATAAACTTAAATAATGTAATAAAATTCCAAAAAGTAGAAAAATGGTGTTCTGAATTGGTTTAATGATTGCCTAACACTATATCAGTAGGTTCCAATAAGCCACTCGCCAACGGATAAATTACACCATACCCCACATAAAACAGAAAAATTAAAATCAGACAACGTATTAAGGACCTCAAGATGTATTTCCAGGAATATATTTACACTACTTATACATGGGAAATTGTTAAGACAACGCTAAGAATGGCCGTTAAAATACAATTTTGTAACAACCAAAATGATTGATCCATAACATAACAAATCATTTAAAATTTTAAGCTACACGTTTAAAAATTAAAAATAGGCTGATTAAAATGATGTAGCCTTTCTGTACCTTTTTGTAACCAAAAAAGGTTAGTATGAGTACCAACTCGTAAAAACATAGTTCAATACTGTAAAAATTTTTTTACTTTTAAAAAAATGAAATAAATTGTAATTACAAAATAAAAATAAAAATGAAATATTGAGAAATTTTACATTTTAGGGGTCTAGTGGCAACAAGACTCATAGAACATCTTATAGGCAAATTGTTATGCATTTGGCTATTTTAAAAATATTTATAACAACCATAAGGTTTAATACGTTTATACGTTTATACGCAGATAAATAATAAATGTACCAGGTGGACTATTTAATATACTTGGATATATATGTATATATATCAACAATTCATAAGTTTTATATTTTACTTAAACGAACAACTCATACTTCGAATTCAATTTTTTTTTTCTAAATTAATTTGAAGGTAAGAATATTATCTAGGGACCCAGACAGGCTTTTTTGATATTTAAATTATGAGCGGTTTAAAATAGTAGGTTTCTTAATGATCGTTAAATTTCTTCTGTGGTTTCATACAGACAGCAAGGTTTCAACCAAGAAAAATCTCAATGTGAAAACAACATTAATTTTTAATTGATAACTCAAAAATGTATTTATCCTAAACGCATTTTAATAATATTATGTAACTTCCTGGTTTTTGACATAAAATATACTCCCAAAGTCCCAAAACCTAGAATTCGCATGCAAAGAAAATTTAATTTTTTTTTATTTTCGTACGTAACTTCTAGAGCACTATTACACCGTGTCACTGTGACAACGGGACACTAAAGGCAGATTTTTTAAATAAGGTATTTTCTAGTTTCTTTTATAATAAGACGCCTGGTGTAAAGTACAGCGCTATCTAGAAGTTCCCTACAGTGCCGTTTGTTTACAATACGTCCACAATATAGATCACGGTCTTCTAAGATTGACCAGTGAACACAATAATAATACCTATTATTGTCTACATCCTGAATTCTGAAAACGTCATAGATTATAAAATAATTCTTTAATTGGAAAGCGGGAAATCACAGACATACCTATTTGCGAAATTTATTATTTCATTATTTCGATTATTTCTCGCTCAACAAGCCATACACCGTTGAAATGCACTGGATTGTTAGGACCAGATCCCACTAGAACTTACTTAAAACATACATAATTACAAAATACGAACTTTTACTATTCAATTCATACAAAAGCCCCCTAAACATCAAGAACTTAATCAAATTTAGTATTACTTATAGCGTATTACTTATTACTATTAATAGAAATGAATACCTGAATTAAGATCAAAATAATAAATAATTTATGTAACACAATAAAGTTTCGTTTACGAACAACTTACGATTTTTGATTTGTGTTTTGATATGCGTTCTGGTTTAGATACGATTGCCAAAAAAACACGATCATGTAAATCTTTGTCATTATTATTCTATGAACAAGATTAAAGACTTCAGATATACATGTACCACAGACTTACCCTATACGGCCATACATTACAGTTTTATATAATAGTATTAAGTATTAAACTATTATAGTATCATAGTATAGCAGCATTATACTAAGTTAGATATATTGGATTAACTAAGTTAGGTATAACTGGTATAAGTATAAGACACGAACTAAGACATAGGTAGTCTATATAAGATGCATCTGAGGACTGTGGTAGTCTGTGGTATAAGAGTATAATATTGTACGTTTTCAATACAAAACAATGCTACAAAATTATAGGCAATTGTGCGCTTTACGACATTTTGCGCGTTCGTGTTTGGCCACACTGCGATCCCGCTGCCACTGATTGGAAAACGCACCAGTATCTACAACTCTACCTATCATTTATTTATTCACATTTCTTTTTTTTAATTTGATTCCTTCGTCGTCGTGATACACACTCTCGTTGCCGTCGTCGTCATAGGAGAGTACAGTCGTAGGAGCAAAAGACCGAAAATTTCGGCGTTTTTACGATAAAATATAATTGCTCCCCGTGACATCTCCGCGGGGTCGTGGTGCGTCGGTATTCGTCGTGTGAACGCTCCGATGGTCCGACCATCGAGACGACGCGTATCGTGCGGTTGAATAAAATGCAGCGGGTCACCGTGCGACCGTCGTTGCGACAGCTGTAGTGGACGGTAGAGTTTCGCGGCCAAATTGCCGGTGCTGGTGGTTGTGGTGCTCAACACGATATCCGCAGCTACAAATGGTTCGACTACAATAATATCACAGGTAAACACTACCAACAGCCAAGCATCACCGAACGTACCTATCACCAACCTTGTTGTACTGTGTCTTGCAGGGTGAAGATGGCTGAAGATGTTTCGGAAAACAGAGAATGGTCACCTTCGACGACGGTAAGTCGAATATAATTATTTGCTTTTTATTTCGTCTTTTGGGATGTATTAAGCCCAGTTATATGTAGCACAGCTGGCATGTTGTTGCTGGGTGTCCGTCCGCCACAAATTGTCCAGAGATCAAGTCCACCGGGGTTCGTTTTGATTTTGAAAATAAATAGTTTTCCTATTCATTTCGTAGTTTTAGATTTGTATTGAGCTTAGGAACAATTTAAGTTAGATATACCTACTACTTGGGCAACAATTATGATTCCATGATTGTATTTCACCTCAAATTACATTAAATTAATTATTATTGATTATTCCTCATTCTCATTTGGGTGGTGGTCTACCGATGACCATAATAGGTAATGGATTTTACACTCCTTTGTTTCTAGAACCATTTATAAAACATATAATTGCAATCTGTAAAATTACAACAATCAGTAGGTAATACTCACATAATTTAAGAACGATTCAAATACTGTTCGACTTGAGGGAAGAAGATGTCCATCAGAATGCACATTCAGATGCTATGTCTTAGCTTTATTGGGAAAATAGTATTTATAGAATTTAGACTTATAAACTCACTAATAACATACTAGTCTGTGTTATAAACTAAATATGTTCTGAGGTAGGTTCTATTTATTATTGGCTGTTTAGTGTTTACCTATGCTTAGCTATAAAAATAGGAATGTTTTTTTAAAATCAATAGTTACAGATATTATCTTATTTAATTTGTATAGGTAGATATATTCTATGGGCATACTTAAAATTGTATTGTTTGTTAAGACTTTGGTTAATACTATACAAGTAACAAGTGTAGTAAGACATTAATAATTTACATAATGGCTCTGTGATGATCACAAGAGGTATTCATTAGGTATGTAATTTCTATACCTACATTTTACAAAAAATGTATTGTAATATGTTTTTGTTTGTTT